TGAAATAGAAAAAGATGGACAATTACCCTACCTGGACACTCTAATAATAAGGAAAAATAACAAATTAACAGTTGACTGGTATAAGAAATCTACAGCATCAGGGAGGCTCATTAATTTTAACTCGAGACATAAGAAGAAAATAATTCTAAATATCGCCAAAAATTTTATAACAAGAGTCCTCACGATAAGTGACGAAAATTATCATAAGAAGAACATTGTCACTATCAAAGATATCCTACGGAAAAATGAATTTCCACATTGCTTAATTAATAAGCTTATCCGCGACTTCTATGGTCAGCCCGGTAAAGAGAAATCAAATAGTGACGGGAACAACCAAGTGTATAAATCGGCAACATATGTACCAGGATTATCTGAGAGAATTAAATACTCAAAAATATATGACAAGGACAATTTCCGCATAGCGTTTACTTATGACAATACGCTGAAACAAGTTTACTCAAATACCAAAGATAAAATTCCAATAAATGAGAAGTCTGATGTAATTTATAGAATACCATGCAGTGGCGACGCGTCCCACGTATGCGATATGGTATATGTGGGGACAACAAAATCGAAATTAAAGACAAGAGATTTCCGCTCACAAATCAAACATTAAGTTGAGGAATAATTCGGCGGACAATAAGACAGCCTTGTCATCTCATTGCCAGGATACGGGACATTATCCCGACTTTGATAAAGTAGCAATCTTGCAAGAAGAGAAAATCTATAATAAACGCTATGTTTTAGAGATGCTACATATTATGAACACCCCTAATCACAAAAGGATGAACTATAAAACAAACACCGACAATTGCGCTCACGTTTATCGCAATTTAGTTCTAACGCACAACAACAAACCTACAGTGTAGGTGTCGTGTGATCGTGTGTTCATGTTTAACTCATCGTCCGTCTGCTACCAAGATTTCTTCGGACAACGACATTGCTCTGCTGAGATGACATACAAACATTTCTTAGTCTTACTGTTCAGCACTTTATGTATTATTGTTTGTATAAAACAACAATTACTGTATTTTAATTATTAGTTTTCCTGTTTATGTTTAAAATCTTCTTCGTGCTTGTTTGTTATTATACATTTTAACATATGATTAGTCGACCGGACAAAGCTAATAGTGTAAGTCGTTTTAATGCACTTGTGCATATGTATGTTTTTGTTGGTTTATATTGTGATGTAAAAATATTGTTTTCCTTTTTTAGTNCGTTTTAATGCACTTGTGCATATGTATGTTTTTGTTGGTTTATATTGTGATGATGTAAAAATATTATTTCCTTTCTTAGTAATTAAGATGCCTTCAGACTGAAGGCGAAATATCGACCAAAATAAAACTAAAAAGTAAATAAATCAGAAAAACATTTAATGTTTTATTTAATATACGGCCTATAGCTCAAAAATAATTATTAAATTATACTAAACGGCCAATAAGCAACACAATCCTTTTTTCATAAATTAATTTTTTTGTTTATGCTGTCTATTGTAATTTTTAAATATAATAAAAAAAAAATTTTGTTTTATTTCTTTGTTTTTATAGCACAAGCATTTCTTCCTAAAGGTTTTTTGGCAATGCAATTAGATTTTCAAATTTGTTATTTTGTTATTTATTTATAAATTGAAGAAATTATTTTTACTTACATTTATTTAAATTTAAAAATTTTAACTACCTCCAAGCGGCCTCGAACCCTCGATTTCAGAATAAGAACCAGTAGTCTTCACGTGACGACACAGCCGACATTTGTAAGAAAAGCACTTAATTGCGTTTTATTTTTGGCTTTGGCAAATCAAAGGCAGATGTTGCTGATCGCCTAAGTTCTTCGAAATTGTCGAACTGGTGGGCACATACTAGTTAATGAACTAGTATTTTTTCTAACTGGTTTGGCTTTTCACTGCAGGGAACATCGCAAAAGAAAAATATAGAAAATTGGTTTTTTCTTAACAGCGGTTGTCCCTCGGCAGGCAATGGCAAACCTCCGAGTGTGTTTGTGCCATGAAAAACAGCTTCTCCTAAAAGTGCAATCGCCGTTCGGAGTCGGCGTAAAACTGTAGGTCCCTCCGCTATGTGTAACAATATCACCGCGCACGCCACAAGCCGGAGGAGAAGCTCGGCCAAACACTAGCAAATGTGTAAGTGCCAATCTATTATTATTATTAAAATGCGTGGAAAACTTTGAGCGCTTGAGCGACCTCTAAATATTTTTTGATTTAAAAAAACCCACGGGTATAATTTTTTCGGTATCATTTAGTCATTGATTTTATTTAACCCCGCTCATAAATATCAGGCTTTCTTATAGTTACATTTGAGTTTACAGGTTTCAAAATTACATAATTAAATATTCAAAAATATACTGTGAGTGAAGTGAGAGTACTTAAAAAAGTATTTAGAAAATTACAGTAGTTTACATAATGTATTCATTTAATATGTTGGCTCTGAATCGGAAACAGTTAACAACACAGAGGTACATACACAGAGGGTGGAGAGTCAGTCGAGGCCGTCATCGAAACCGCCGCCTCGAAGAGTTTCATATCAACCAGCTTAGCGGAGTACATGGCCGCCGCAGGGAGCGGGGAAAGGATAACGGTAGCCCTCGAGATACACATGGCTGACGGCACCAGTAGCAAGATTTTCGAGACCATGAGGACCGAGGTTCGCCTTGGACAATCGGCGCACCCCACAGTGTTGTACATCATGCCAGGCGCAATAGAAGATCTCATACTCGGCCTAGAGAAAGCACCGAAGGAGTGGCAGACCCAGGATCGAGAGCAGCAACAGGGTCAGCGATGACGACCCCAGTGGAAGCGTCGACGAGCGCACCTCCGCGAATATACCCCAACGTAGCGATAACAACGAAACCACGATTGAAGTGGTGGCATAAATGCGTGGAGGAAGTGCGCATCAACATTTGGTTTCTCGTAGGGAATCGCCTATACGCCGCAATGTCTGAATTTGGCATCCCCGCCAAACTGATACGGCTGTATAAAATGACGTTGAGCAATACCACCAGCTCCGTCAGAATTGGGAAAGACTCTCCAAGCCGTTCGCAGTGATTTCTTTAATCTGATGTTGGAGAAGGTAAAAAGAGCTGCAGAACTGAACCGCTCTGGAACAATTTACTACAAGAGCGTGCAATTTCTGGCTTATGCAGATGACATCGATATCAATGGTAAAAAAAAACGCGAAGTCTGTTCTGCCTTTTTCAAGTTGAATAAGGAAGTAAAGCGAATGGGTCTGGAGGTAAACGAGGACAAGAAGAAGTATCTCCTGTCAATAAAGAAACAGTGAGGATATTCGCGCCACGTCACTGTTGACAGTTATAATTTCGAGAAAGTAGAGAATTTTGTTTACTTGGGAACCAGCATTTAGACCGATAATAATGTCAGCATGGAAATCCAACGCAGAATCCCCCTTGGCAACAAGTGCTACTTTGGACTGAGTAGGCAATTCAGGAGTAAAGACCTCTCTCGACTTACGAAAACCACACTCTATAAGTAACTCATCATGCCGGTGCCGGAAGCATGGACAAAGACAAAATCCGATGAGCGGAGGATTTACGGGCCTTTACGCGTTGGCGACAGCGAGTACTGCAGGCGATGGAACGATGAGCTGTATGAGCTTTACAACGATATGGACATAGTGCAGCGAATTAAAATACAGCGGCTCCGCTGGCTTGGTCATGTCGTTCGAATGGACACCGACGCTCCAGCTCTGAAAGNAGAAAGGCCCCCACTGAAATGAAAAGACCAGGAGGAGAAGCACTTGGCTTCACTTGGGATTTCCAATTGGCGCCAGTTGGCGTGCTTAACAAAGCTCAACAGAGCTGAATAAGAAGAAGAGGATAGGTTGAAGGACGCACGACTCTACCGCATATCCCGTGCCCAAGTCAGGACAAGGAAGCAGTGCCCTGGAAGTTGTGTGTATTAAGCCCTCTTTGCCAGCGAGTACTGCAAGAGAACCACGATGAGCCCAGCGCCGGACACATGGGCAACTCTCGGACAGTAGTGCGGGTCGCCAACCGATACTATACAACAGCACCAGCCGGAGCGTTACTCACCAGAATGCCACTCACCGGTGCGACCACAGCGCTACCCACCTATATTGCTAGAGCGCCACATACCGACGCGGCTAGGACGCTAGTCTTCGGCGTCACCAGAGCGCCACGCACCGGCGCGAACAGAGCGCGGCTCATCGACGTTACAAGAGCGCCACATACCGACGGGGCTACAAAACAAACGCTTTTATTTCCCATTTAGCACGCAGATGTGCTCGAAATGTTAACGAAAAAATTATTAAAAATCAACGCGAGCTCTTTGCGACTTGCAACTTGCACTTAGTACGGTTGCACGTACAGGCACGAATGGACTGAAAAAAAAGAAACCCTTATAAGTTTGCTTTCTGGAGGTTGGTAGGTTTGGTTTCGAGTTGTATTCTTTCATCCATATATAGTAAATCTTTAGTATTTCGGACTTATCTTCCAGTCATATAACAGTTATATGAATTGTTTTATTTAATTATATTTTTGGCTTCATTAAATATCATTTTTTCTTCATCATTAAAATCTTTCAATTCACCATTAAAATCATTCATTCTTGTAGTTTATACCAAAACCATTTTTTTAGTACACATGCTTCTTCTTCCTTGCATTCACTACATGCTCAACCGCAGCTGCCACTAACAGCTGTTAACGATACTGGTTGACATCAGCGCCTACCTCAATATCCGGAAAACGGTCCTCTGCCTTTCCTTTGGCGACCGGCGGTGTGTAAAGACCGAACAA